GGGTTTTTTTTTGCCATTATTGCTACGTTAAATTGTAGCCGGTGGCTGGTAAGTTATGGGGGAGGGGTGGAAATGCTCAAATGTATTCTCATAAAACGCATTTGTAAATCACTGGCATGGAAAGAAAGGCAGAGAAAGAGGGAATAAAAGACCATATTCGTCAACAAGATGAATGCGATGGCCCAAATCAGTCGACGACTCGGCTCTTTGAAAGAAGAAAAAAATAACTTTTAGTTTTTTTGAGTTGTTGTTGCTAGTCCGTGGATTTATTACGGAGCGCCGTGCGAGCGTCGCCACGATAACGGCGATGAGAAAAATCGCAGTCCGAGGGAAGAGACTCTCCTTGCAAATGTGAAAGATTTCTTCTGCTGGTTAGTTTGCCCCTGCTGGGCAGGTAAGACGACTTGCACGTAAATGTGAACACCCCACCCCCCACCCGCCCCTTTTTTGAGAGTTATAGAGCTAAGTTTTGGAACACAGTATAACATAACAACTGTTTAACAACAAAACTCCCTACGGTGTATTCCGCAGGACATGGATAGGTAAAAAGTGGGCATCGTCGTGGCTTTTGCAGTCAATGCCACCTCTTGTGCTTGCGTTGTCTGCAGCGCCTCGTGCACGGCTATTGATGTGGCTATGCTCATGGGGCCTTTGTTCCTGTTGAGTGAATACCAGCTTCGATGGGCATTTCAGTCCGGGGGATCTGATGCTCGTTTGTTTCACTCGTCTTTAAGGATGTTTATCAGGCATTGGCACAATCTTAACGCTGCTGTTTTTTTCCCGTATTCTAAGATCTAGATTATATAAGTGGTAAGCCTGCAATCAGTGTTCTCTGTTGACCTTCAAATCCAAGCGGGAAACATTTATCTCTTGAGCAGCATTATTCACGATGCAATGTGAAATGTATTGTGTGCATGCCACGCAGAGCCGGCCCAGCCACTAAGCGACCCTTGCAATTGCAAAGGGCCCCGTGGCCAGCAGAGGGCCCCCTAGAGTCACTGCTAGCTCGTGGGTGAAAAAAATCATACATCAAAGGGGCCTCCAACCAAATTTTGCTTAGGGCCCCCAAAGGTCTAGGGCCGGTTCTGATGCCACGTGGCATTTGAAGGCGCGTTTCTATGACAAGATGCTGGATACATTTCCATCGTGAGGATGACCATGGTGAACACGACTTTTGTGTTATTTACATTGTAATGATTACAAGGATGGTCACAGATACCGGTCATGCCCATGGTGACAAATGTGTTGTCGATTGTGTAATTGACGATGGCATTGTTATTTACACAGTTCATGATGATGCTGGTGTTGATGATAGCAATGGTGATGAGATAATTAATTACATTTTTAACATAATGAGTTTCCCAAAGTTTTCTTCCTATTCATCACAAAGGCCACTTTCATCTTCTTGGTTCTTTCGGTAAAGTCACGTAGAAGGGAAGTAATAAAAGAATAAAAATAAAACATAAAAAAACAATTCTACGCTGTCGCCTCGACAGACCTGGTTTTCACCTGAGGACGGCTGCTTGCGTTGTGGCCGAAACTTCGTGAGAATTGTTTTATTATGTTTTATTTTTATTATTTTATTACTTCCCTTCTACGTGACATTAACCGAAAGAACCAAGAAGATGAATCCCTGCAGTCACAAAAGCTTTAAATCGAAAAAGGCCACTTTCATAATGAGATGAGATGTTTTCATCTCCAACCCACTGCTGGATGAAGATTTCTCCAAGTCATTGCCGTCTCTCACAATCCCGGAATCTACCTAGCACCTACACATGGGCTGATTTCATCACTCCATCTCTCCCCAGCGGCCTTGCTCTCGGACCCATTGCTGCCACTCTGGCATTATTCTTGATCCCTGGAGCTGGAGTTCCCAGTGCAGAGGCAATAGTTACCTCCTCTCAGTCGAGATGGTCAGGGCACGTAAGTCGAACGGCGGACCATCGGCTTCTAAGCTCCTTCTTTACGGTGAACTCAAAGAGCAAGGCATGTTCTCGGTGGCCAAAAACTGCGCTACAAAGACGCCTCGAAAAGCTAACCCAAGAGAGCTAAATATCAATGTGGGACTCCCGGGAGGAAATGTCAGAGCCAACGGTAAAGCAGCGCAAGAAGTGGCTGATGTGGCCGACTCGGTCAAGTGGGTTGAAGAAAAAAGGGGAGAAAAAACTTAACCCGTAAAAACAAAGTTTTTCACTATAATTCATTTATATGCGTGGCATCGGTTTTATTTTATTATTCATTTCTGTTTTTCTTGAGTAAGAGTTTCATATTTATCACATTGGTATTTAAAATTAAATATGAAAAAAAAAGTTCCTAAAAAGTGGATCATTTTGGGAAAAAAATTTTCACTAAAATAAATTGTCACGCACAACGAGTCTGTGTGCAAAATGTCAGCTCGATTGGATCACGGGAAGTGGGTTAAAAAACGACCGAAAGATTTGCACGGTCGTAAGCGCGCAAGCAAGCAAGTGAACTTAATATAAAGGATTTAAAAAGAACAACAACAATCTATCAACATCAACACCGGAAGCAGCAGCAACAACACGAATCCCATCTAGCAGACGAGCAGCAACTCTCGCCCACGGTGCGGCCGATGCTTCCAGGCCAAGGGGCTGGTGCCCCTCACCCCACCGGCGCGCAGGGAAATTGCTGCGGCGAGCTGTCCTCCGCAGTCACCGTCGTTCGTGAAGGACAGCCGAAGAATGGAAGAATATTCTTGATCGCCGGTCGTCATCCCTTCCAACGATGTGGCCTGTTCGAGGCCGCGAGCTCTGCCCGACAGCCTTAATTTACATCGAATTCATGCACAGGATCACCTTATCTATGCACGTGAATTGAGTCGCCCTGCTCGGGCAGATTAGAATGACGCTGTAATTGGGGGGGATGGAGACACGATAAGATTGGACACATTCTGGGTGGTTTGCTTATCGATGGCCAGGAGATGGCAGCACAACAAATTCATTCTTGAATCCATCTGTTCAGACCTATGAGTACTATCCTATTGCATGCACAGGTTTTCTCTCCACAAGCACACAAAGCCGCGCGCTATGCTGAACCACGTGCAGCATTTTGGTCGCGTGCCTCGCGGAACAATCTATTCGTAAAATGCTTTCGAAAAATATAGCAATGTGACAATCACCGTTTGGAGTTTTTTTATTGGGGGCTCGAGCCAATAATGTCAATTGGCAGGGGAAAAGGTGTCAACGCTTCTCAAAAAAAAGAAAAACATCGTCACGTCCGTCAATATCGACGGACGGACAACCGCTTATTAATCCGGGGCAATGCAAACCCACTTAGAGAACGGCATTGATCGCAGGTAATTGTGAGGCTATGCTACATCGAGACCGTATATGAGCTGGCTGGCAGTCACAACACGCTTTATTCTGGAGGCTCTGACAAAAAAAAACATTTTGCTCATGTACATATGTCTACAATCCATTTTGTCAGTCTAGTGCTGAATGAATCAGAATCTGTATTTATCCTGAAGAAATCCGATGAGCTATGAAGCTCTTTCACAGATGTCGAAATAATTTCAACATACATACAGTTAAATTTCGATTGAAAGCTTTCGTAACTGCAGGGATTCATAGTCTTGGTTTATTTCGGTAAAGTCACGTAGAAGGGAAATAATAAAATAATACAAATGTAAAAAAAATGTTTTATTTTATTATTTCCCTTCGACGTGACTTTACCGAAAGAACCAAGAATATACATACAGTTAGTTACAACAACAAGCAAGTAAGGACCTCCACGTGCCTTGCAGGGCCGTGAGCGATATTCGACCAAACCTCACCACCCTGTCCGTGTGGGTTAGTGTAGGTGGGAGGTGGTGGGGGAGCTGCAGAACAGCAATGGATTTTGCCGTGCTGCCCTGGACAATGCTCCAGGCATTGTGGGCTGAGGATGGCATTGTGGGCTATGCTACCCTCGGTTGGCAGTGATCCGTTCAAAAACACTGTCCAGGCTAAAACTGCTTAACCTTCAGAAAGGTTATATTTAGTCGCAGGCATCTTGATCGTACAAAACCTTCATTAGAACTGGAAGATGAAGGAGAAAAACCTCCGCTTGTGGATGTTTTTATTTCTTTATTTTATTTTACAAGTGGTGACCGAGAATGAAAAATAATTCCACAGATAAAAGGATTTGTGGAGAATAATCCCGCTCAGAGGGAATCGATTTTATATATCACTGCTTGTCTGTCAGCCACAAACAACATCCTCAAAAAACTTAAAACTAAACAAGAGGGTTAACCTTGCAAACTGTAATTGTTTGTCTGAAGGTTATCATCGCAATAGCTAGCCAGATTTGGGGGTGGATGTTTGTGCGTGGTGCGTGTGTGGATATTTTATGTGTGTGTGAAGTCCTGGGCCTCCCCTAGGTCGACTCAGCCTCAAATAAGTACATAGTGTGGTGTATAAACATCACCGCTGGGGAGACAAATGCGATCGGGGGTGGTTTCAGCCACCCACCCCCTCGTGTACCGTGCCGGCCTTCATAGGTGCTCGCAAACAGCACTTGCCCCAAAGTCTGTTGAGAATATATGGGGGGGGGGGTCTTTGTCTCTTGTTTTAGTAGTGGACCAACTGTGGCACAGTAAAAAGCCCAGGTGGTTAACCTGCCATTCATCTGAGTATCTCCGTCAACCCATAACACGTGGGTCTCCACCGTGGTCTTCTACTCGTGATCCTTCGACATTTCACGTGACCTCAAGTGCAACCTCGTTTGGCACACGTGCCATAATTTAGTGGTGAACAGTCGCCGATGGCATGAATTATAGGAAGTGGTGGTCCAGCAATTAGTGCATTGCGCTATGAATCCAGTAAAAAAAAGAAAAATTACAAGTCCTGGCTAGCACCTCTTGCGCAGTGCCGACCTTAAAAGGCGCTCGCTCACCGCACTTGCCCCAAGTCTGATTAAAAGGCTGCATGCGTGATTGTTGCCCTTTGTCTCATGTGTGTGCCCGCCTGTCCTCGTGTGTGCGCGCGTGTGCACGTGCACAGCTGATTGGCAGGCCAATGATGCCAGCTTACTGGGCACTGGGATTCCAGCTGAGCCGCTGGGGCTACACCAGCCTGCAGGACGTGCAGGAAACCGTGGAGCGGAACAGAGCCACCGGGATGCCATACGTACGAGATGCCTGCTCGGTCGCCCGCTCAGCCGATGCGCGGAGCACATATGCGCCTACGGTCACGCACCGTGCACGCGCGCACACACACGCTCGTACGCACTCTCTCTCTGACACGTGCACGCGGAATGCCGTGCGTACGAGATGCCTGCAAACGCCGCGGAAATACGCGTGCGTGCATTCACCCACCCAACCACGCGGCAGCACCGGCAGTCCGCGCTCTCCACACTCCAGATTGCATTTGCATGAGATGAACGTCATAATTTCCGCTGCGCAAGCATAGCCGCACGCCCACTCAGGCACATATTCCCCCCCCCCCCCCCCTCTGAGATTCGTTGAGATTATGAGCAGTTATTAGCATGGACGCTACTCAGAATTCCCCTTGCAGCTCGTGCAGTGCCTTTCTTGCTTAAAATTAAACACTTTCACGCATTGTGGCTTCGCTTAATCCTCTGCGCAGAGCGCCAACAAGCAAGAACGCCTAACCATCCAGCGGGATGTTTTGGGGAAAGTGGGACCTTTTTTGGCACCTGCCTCTGGCACGCATTTCCTGAAAAGCATTTTTTGGCAACGGGGAATGAGATGGCGCGGTGGACATACTTTTAAATCTGAGGATGACAACGCTAGCTGGCATTGCAACTGCAAGGCATTGTGAGCAGACTGGTCACTGCGAGGCCTGACATTGGCGAATGTCTCAGGCAAACAGCCGTGCAATTTCCCAGCTGTCCTATTAGAGTGTACATAATTTAGAGCCAATTTTTTTTTTATCTACACCTTGAATGTATGGATTATCAGCATAAATATTTTATTTCGATACTATAAACACATATGGAATGACATGTTAAAAAAAATCATCCTGGCAACAAAAATCACCAGACAGCTGGGTTTTATATATATATCGCAATCCTAGAATTACGATGCATTTTTCTTTTGCCCATTTCCTATGGTAAAAGGTGTGTTTTGTTTGAATGTGTTTTGGCTAGATAACAAGCAAATAAATTGATCATTAAATTAAAAAAAATTAAGTTTCTGATTGACATATATATCGTGCTATCTTTTATGAGCAACTTAATTGGATCCCTGCAGTCACATCGGGAAGTGGATTTACCCACCACACGTGACCTGCCGATCAACTGTTATACATTTACTACATATCTGCTACATCGCCACGATTGAATGTTTTTTGATTGCCACAGTGGCAAGATGTTAACTGCCTGGCCTGAGCTGCAGGAGTTCGTGAGTTCAATCCCAAGAAACACGTGTTTAGAGTATTTGGCCACCTCGTTGAGATATCATTCGTGGCCAGGTCGCTTCTGTGTGGGCATTACCTATGAATTTCTATGCCACCTAATGTCCCAGCTGCTTTGACTGCCGTCCCACACCCTCGCAGGATGTGCAGTACACAGACATCGACTCGATGGAGGACCGCAAGGACTTTACGTATGACATGAACAAGTGGGCCGACCTTCCCGCATTTGTGAAGGACTTACACGACCACAACCAGCGCTACGTCATCATCCTGGTGAGAGCATTTGGCATGGGCAGGACAGCGTTCGGTCCCGTGGTGGCGAGATGTTAACTCTCTCGCCTGGTATGCAGGACGTCGTGGGTTAGATCCCCACCCTAACGCCCGGCTGTTGTATTTGGAGTGTGCGTGTCTTTCTCCTCGTGGTCCCTTTGGATTTTTCTCCGAGACCTCCGTTTTTTCCACTCCACATTTAAAATGAACATCACGCGTTTGGAGTATTTGGCTGATAGAAATTTCCACGTGATCAGACGACTTCGTTGAGCTATCATTTGTGGGCATTTTGCTTCAGATAAAAAGAACTCTACAGCTCAGTGGGCCTTACCTGGTAAAATAAATAAAAAATTGTTCAATCCTGACTTGAAGCTTTCGTGACTGCAGGAATCCATACTCTTTGGTTCTTTCGCTAAAGTCACGTAGGTATAAAATAAAATAAATCACGACGTTTCGGGCGCAACACAAGCGTCCGTCATCAGGTGGGAAAGCATTATCTGCTGCTGAGGCAGACTGTTTTAAAAGGTTTGAAATGGGTGTAGCGCAAGGGTCATAAAGAAGTGGGCGGGCGCTAGTGATGTTAACGTGAGAAATTGGCATAAATATAATTGTGTCGTGAACCCACCACCACCCGACACGGCCAATGAGTCAGGTTTGTCACTTAAATATAACGTCCCAATTCGTTATGAGTGTGTTACTCTTCTTGGTTCTTTCGGTAAAGTCATGTAGAAGGGAAGTAATACAATAATAAAAATAAAACATAATAAAATTAATTTTATTATGTTTTATTTTTATTATTTATAATAAAATTAATTTTATTATGTTTTATTTTTATTATTTTATGCTTCCCTTCTACGTGACTTTACCGAAAGAACCAAGAAGATGAATCCCTGCAGTCACAAAAGCTTTAAATCGAGAGTGTGTTACTAATACAGCACACCGGTGTGTTGGAGAGTAAACTCACAATTTGTAAATGTTGTGGGCTTAGTCTCCCAACACACCGGCGTGCTGTACTGACGAATTGGCATGTTTTGTTCACGTCACAAACCTCACTAATTGGCTGTGTCGGGTGGTGGCGGTTTTACGACAATTAGTTACTTTCTTCAGCACACCGGTGTGTTGGCGAGTAAACTCACAACATTTACAATTTGAGTGCGATTACAACAAGCAGCTTCATCAGGCGATTTGCCAGAATTGTGAAGAAGTCTTCCTGTTTCAGTCTTAAACAAACTTATAATGGTGATGTCATCACTCTGAGCCAATCAGAGGCGGGTTAATGTAATAATATAAATGACAATGGATTATATCTAACCAGAAAAAAAACCTTTATTTTGGATAATATTGGTCGCGAAAGCCTACGTGTGAATCTGTCCAACCGGCAGTGTAAATGGGATCACCACAGTTAGTCGATCAGCAGGTTACGTGCTGGTACGGTCAAGTGTGAGTTTTCTCAAACTAGATTTGAAGTTTTCGTGACTACAGGGATCCATACTCCTTGGTTCTTTCGGAAAAGTCACGTAGGTATAAAAATAAAATGAAATAAATCACGACGTTTCGGGCGCAACACAAGCGTCCGTCATCAGGTGGGACAACCACAGCAAGAAACAATTGTTGAAGTGTGCAAAAGAGCTGCTGTAACAAGAGGCTATATAGGCAAGATAAGAGGGGGGGAGGAGCCAGGGAGTGTTGCATGCTAAGACACCTGCACTACAAAATGCCGGAGTAGGGAGGGGAAGTGAGCGGGGCTGGGAGTGGGAAGATGAAGAAACTCTCAAACTGCCACCAACTCTCGGGGTTCAGCGACACCACCAGTCCACGTAACACCTTCCTGCGGAGGGAGCTGGTAGGAACGTTGGGTTGCTCGGTCAATGGCCAGGGTCAACGGCGGCGTGGTGTATTCCGCAAATATGGCCGACTGTGAGGGCGGGTACAAGCCGGCGTGAGTAGGTTAAACGTTGAGTTTTATAAGGGCACCACGGGGTGACCAGCCCCTTCCCACCTAGCCCCACCCCTCCCACCCCCACCCAGCCCCACCCAGCCCTCCCCACCTTCCCCACTCAGCCCCTCCCCACCCTCCCCTCTCCACCCAGCCCCACCCCTCACATTTTTGGATGCATCGAAGGACAGACGGACACAATAACCTCCTGTGGGCTGGTGTAACCAGGAGGTTCCTACCAGTAATATCTACACTCTGGATGATTATTCACACAATCGTCCCCGACGCGCTCCCAACGTCGTCATTTAGAACACCATTCCAGCAGCAGTTATTTTAGAGTATTAGTACTTCTGATACATTTACGATCATTGCACGATCAATTTTTTTTATTTTCAGTTGAATGTCAATACCACAATATTGCTTTTGACACTGATGTAACATTCGAATGTAAATCAATTAAAGGGGAAATTATTGGCAAGCTTATAAATACATATAAAATAACAAAATATTGCATTCATTTTCGCAAGACATGCTTCCGTGACATTGGTTAAATCCTTCTGAAAAGAGGATTACATTTAAAAGTAGAACGAAACTCCGGACATGCTTAAATACATTTCTCTCCAGAGGAAATAGTAATTTGCTACATCAAAAGCAGCTTCGGCTTGGTGTTCTTTTGTACAAGTTCTTTTCCCACTGAGGGGTTTTATCGGCTCGCAACAGATTGGGAGGTAATTTTGCAGCCTCCAAGCAGAAAACTGCACCAGCGGCATTCACCGCTTACAGCAGGAGGAACGCAGTCTCTGTGGGTGGGTGGCCGTGGGTGTTCGGACACGCGCACAACACCTTGGCTAAGAGGCGCTCACAACACTTTGGGGGGGTGAGGGGGGTGGAAACACCACGGGTATTTTGGAGTTCTGCGGTCGCCTCCACGGGATGTGAATGCAGATGTATTGCTAATGATGGAACCTTTGAACACACAGTGGCGCACAGACAGTAAGTCACCAGTTGTGAGTCAGTGGACAGCATTTGAGTAGAGTTAATATAATGAGAGTGCAGTTCATATAATGAAAGTGCAGTTGAACCCCAGTTATCTGTGATGATGTGGCGGTGAGTGATCTTCCCAATAACCACCAGGAACTATTCGCGAGTAGGGCACACGCAACTTCCAAAGCACGGATGCACCCCAGGTTAAGCACGTGCGACAACATCTGACGCTCTGTGATGCTGGTAGCTTGTGCCTGTGCCTTTCATCTCTGTCGTTGAGCTATTATTGTCATTATTATGACGCGGCTTTCACCAAGAAAGCCTCGCTGAGTCTCAAGTATGTTTTTTTTTTCTGGAGGATCCTGCCATGTTTATGCAGTATGGGACAACGTTCATCTGTGTAATCCTAAAGACTAGTTTACAGGTGATACTTCCACATTGGGATATTTGACCACGACAATTTACGTGACGTTTGTTCGTGTTATTTTTACTATGGAAGGTAAACCGGAGAACCTGGCGGAAACCCGTGCAAAACATAAGCACCATCTTCTGGCCATGCATTCAGAGTGTCTCAACGAAGATAAGCCTGTGTTTGGTCCCGGTCCGAATCGTAAATAGCAACTTTTTCCATATTCTTGGGTTTTTTCGGTAAAGTCACGTAGGTAAAAATAAATAAATTAAAATTAATACAAGTAAAATAAAATACAAATAAAATTAAATAAAAATTAAAATCACGACGTTTCGGAGGCAACACAAGCTTCCGTCTTCAGGTGGAACCGTCACAGCACGCTTGCAGTATTTTTATTTTATTTTACTTTTATCAATTTTAATTAAAAAAATTTACCTACGTGACTTTACCGAAAAAACACAAAAATATGAATCCTTGCAGTCACGAAAGCTTCAAATCTAGAACTTTTTCCATCTTTTTTTCCTCACCTTGGGCAAGCGTTCCCCACTTTCAGAGGCGGCTCGCAGCGCTACTGCCGTCGTGTTTTCTCCGCGGCGTCTTTAAGTGTTTACTCCGGTGACAGATTGTCGTACAACATGTGGCGCTGTTGGTTGAGAGATTGTAATCCCAGTTCTGAATGAAATACCGGCTCACGTTGACGTAGTACTTAAGGGCACATCAGAGTTCATTCATTTATCATCTTTATCATGATCACTATAACCCATCCTCATCATTATCATCGTCATCGTCGGCAATTCATTTCCATCTTTACAACAACTGTAACTCACAAAAAAAATCGTGTTTATCACATTCGTACCTCCTGCTATAGTTTGTCATTTTAATCGTGAATGCTTCATACTGTCATAGCCATACATTGCTCTGGAGTCAGGAAAATGTTCATGAACATGACCAGTACACCCAATTATTGTCGTCATCATCATCATCATCGTCTTCATCATCACCATCATCATCACAACCTATCATCATTATCATCCTCTGGTGTGGGTAAAATCATCGCTATCTGGGGAAGTTTCAACACTTGGTGGGTGGAAGTCAACCCCATGGTTGCTGTATTAAGAGCAGCTATTACTCATCAGAGCAATATGGCATTTCCACCAATGGTTCAAAACCATAATTGCAATTACAGTGCAATACAATTGGATTTATAGAGCGTGACAATGTAATTACATATTCAAAACACTTTACAAATAGGAACCCATGCACATAAAAAGGTAATTTGATGGGAATTTGAAACTCTAACCGAGGTTATAACCGTTAATGCATTAAACTCTGTCTGTCTGTGCATCCGTTTGTCTGTGAGGAAGGGGTCACGTAAAGATATTCGAGTTCAAATAAAACGTGTACTCGAAAATCGTGCTCCAAAAATCGAGACTTACCCTATCTTTTGGACTATTTAGTAAAACTGAATCATAATCTTTATTTCGAGAAATCCGATGAGTTACGAAGCTCTGTTTTTACAGATGTCAAGTAGGGGCACGGGTCATAAAGTTACAACGATACGTTCAACCTCGCGTCTTCCTCGGCCCTGAATCGAACTTAGGCTGTCAGATGCGTCGCACAGCGCGCAAACTACTGCGACACCTCTCCCTCCCCACTCATGTGCTAGAACAAAAA